GATTGCACCAGGCGGTGAAAATCCTAGCTTGGGTTCTATGTTTACATTGAAATCGTGTACAGTTACATTTGCCACGTATTTTTTAAACTTATACCATTGGTGCCAATTTGTTGTGAATTACAGTCTTCACCAATTTTTGAGTCCTGCCACTTTAACCACTTTTAACTATGACATAACCAGCTTTGCCCTACATTATGCATAGAACTATTATACGTGTTTTCATATATGCTTACCTTTCTAGTGTGTAAAACAAGAATATAATTATTATATTTATTACAGTTTTCATTTTTTTGTATGGTTAGCTCTTAGCAAACTATAGGTCTGGATCTGAAACGCAAAAATGTTGCACCATTTAAAAAAGAATCTACATCATATAAATAGTAGCTAAATTAAAATCAAAGAAACTAACACGGGTCGAAAATTCAGTTTCATTTAATAACTACACTTCATAGCTTAAAATAGAAGGTCTAAGAAAAGATTGTAATATCTAAGTTTGCTTCCACTTGATATGCTGAAAGTAGAAATAAATGAACAAACAGAACCGAAGAAATGAACTTCGTGATCGAAAAGGACCCCACCTCACGACGCGGAAGAAACTGTAAACTTCATCATTTTCGCAAAATAAAACGTGTCTTGACTGTAATCTTCTGACCTGTTTTAAGGTTTTTAACCCCAACATTTTGGAGATATTTAGACTCTAATTCACTTGTTCTTTTATAGCTTTCCTTATTGTCATTTTAGACATGTAATATTCATCCAGTTCCTGATCATTGCTTGGAAAGTCAGGAAATAATTTCAAGATTTATGCGGACCACATACAATTTCACCTTTTGAAGTAAAAGTCAGTAGAAGCCTTTGTAAATACCCTAGCAAATATGAAGACGTTTGGTATTTTAAGTATTAGATTTTATCTAATATATATGATTTAATACACGGGAAGATTAATAGTAGTTTAAGAAATATTTTGTGTCAGTTACTGAGATAAAAAACACAGAAAAAGTTCTCTCTTCTCTTAGAAGGGAACCCAAATACTTCGCCTTCGAACTTTTCTAGGTACACGACATTTTTTTTAGAAAAGACATTTTATACTTTTATTCTTATGTGTATATAATTAAAATTCCTACGAAAAATTTTAAGAAATTATATTTCCCTCTCTTAACATCTTGAGATTTTGTTTAATAAATGAAAAAAAATGTCTACCGAATTTTGTTTATTGACATATAGTCAGTACGAAACAAATTCTGCTTAAAATATTATTTTTCAAGTCTTTCTGAAGAATAGAATAGTGAACAATTGAGATCACAGTTACGCTGTTCAACAAAATGGTTCCCTTAATTTGTTTGCATAAATGCTTCACCATGTTAATGAATTTGTAGTCTTGTCTTATAATTTTACACAAAACTTTCTGTGAAATCATTGAAACACGCTTCAAAAACTCGTAATGTATATTTTTAATACCATCTATTTCTAATTGCTGTCATTTTCTTTGGATATTTTATTTATAATGAAGCATTTAAAATTATCTCTCTCTTTAGGTAGTTTCAGATTACTCATTTTTTCACTTTATAGCCCTCTATAATTATGATTTTAATTCATATTTACTTACTGTAGCATAATAAAAAAGGGTGTTGTTTTAACTGAATATAAATGCTTGTGCTTATTTGACTTTTAAGCATTTTTGCAGGGTCATTAATTTTTTATTTACTTACTTTGCATATTTGAGGCATTTAATATCATAATTTTACCGTGTACGTTTATTTGATCAAATTATTTACCTCTATTTTTTTTTTCAAAATGTTTATTTCGCATATTATATTTTAGATCTTGTAATTATCAGTCTATCGACGTTTGAGTTGTGAATGTAGCTTAGTTAGAACCTGAAATATGAGCTGAGTTGTTTTTGATGGGCCTTAGCGACGGTTTTAATTAAACAAAAATTCGTTCTAAAGTTATTACATAAATTCTACCAAATATGTAAATAAAAATAGTACATAACACTATAAAAATACATAACACTCAAAACACAATCAAATAAACTCTGTAGGATTCTCCACTGTGTAATTCTAAGTTACAGTTAAAAGTGAAGAATCTTAAGAACTAGTAAGCGAATAATCGCTTGAGTTCGTGAGACAATAAATAAACTTGGAAGAGGTAAAAACCCCTTTGTATTCAAATAAGATTTAACAGAACGCCTTCTTGGAGTTGTCAATAAAGCCGACACTTGGGCTTGACTTTAAGAGACAAAATCAAACTAACTAATCTTAACTAAAGAGATATTGCCGAAGCTACCAAGATTTCTAACAGAGTTGCCCCTTAACGCTAATTGACTGCGAATGGGGCCTAAAGTACGGTCGAGCGTAAAATGCTTACGGAGAGTAGCTAAAAAGGCGGACGCGTGCAGCAGATATCTGGTATTTCTTTTTCTCTAAGTCAGTAGAACTTCGCGGTTAATACCGCAATCCTATTAGCATTAGAAGTGAGTCTAAACTACATTCTGGCCGGAAGTGGTAAGTTGGAATTAAGCGATAGGAAAGGAAGTTTAACTCAAAATTTAACTGTTAATAAAAGTAACATAATCCTTACAATTCAAATATTTCCATCATTTCCTCCTTAAGGACTGCATGTCACAAGCAATGAAATCCCGAAGACCAGAAATAACTATGGTTTAGGGACGAAAGATATTCCAGTAATTTGTCTAAACATTCTAAACATAGGGTAATGCAGTTGGCATCCTGCGTCATTCCTGCATCTAAACCTAGGGTAATGCAGTTCTGCAAGTACTGCATTACCCTAGGTTTAGAAGAAAGAGTTCTTCGTATACGCATCACCACGTCTTTAAGTTTCTTAATGATATGAAAGCCAGCATGCCTACAGCTTGGGGGATTCTACAACTAGACTTGATCTCTTTTTTTTTTAAATTATCTCCCTTGCTTTGACATTATATCATCTCGTCTTCACATTACTTCTGACACTAGATACTGCTTCCTACAATTCGTAGAGATCTACTATAACTGTGCTGATGAACAGGAAGAAATTTCATATACGCTATATTTAAAGGAGTGTATGGGATTCTGAGCATGGAAAATGCTCATACCAATCCTTTAAGTCCACAGTTGTACAGCATGGTGGAGCGATTTGTTAGAACAATATCGGATCATCTCTCACTATTCATATTCCGAAGTCAGCAGGGCTAAGAACAAAAACTGCTTATATTACTGGCAACGTATAAAAATGCAGTTTATGAGAGCACCAGATTTTTTGTGCCATAAATGATTTCTGATCGTGATCTTCGTCTGCTGTAAGATTTGCTCTTTGGACGACCACGGAACAAGCCTTCTTCGCCTTAACAATGTCTGTAAGACATTTCAGGCGCTTTCAGAAGACAATCATCGGCTCAAGACAGAAAGGATCAGTATTAAGACTGATAGGAGGAAGAAGAGATACGATGCGAATTCGACTGAGAGAAAAGGTTAGAGATCAAGTCTGGCTATGAAATCCCAAAGGATGTTTCCCAGTCTGCAGGCACTCTGGGAGAGGCCTTTCTGTGTCATTAAGAAAGTAAACGGCGTACATGAGTAACTCCTTCTCATAAACCTAAAATAACGCAGTAGGATAGAGTTGGCAATTATGGGTAGTTGCTCCTGAAACTATGGTAAACTATGGTAATTGCTACTGGTTTTAGGAATTGCACTACAGGGAATGCGTAGTCCTTTAGGAGAGCATATTTTGTAAATTTAAGCAAATATTTGGTTTTATTTGATTGTATTTTTATTTTTATGAACTTTTGCAGTTTTATATATTGTTCTTCTTTGCTTTTTTATAATAATTTTAGCTTGCAATTTTGTTTAAAATCTTATTTGCGGTGGATCGTGGTATTTGTAAGTGGATATTTTGCGTAATATATTGTTGATCTTATAATTCTGAATAGATCAAAATTCGAATTGTGAAGATACCTCGATTAGAATGAAATATGACAAGAAACACTGCTAGCAGGGTTTGATGACAATTTTTGTCCTCAAACTGGCAACACTTGTGGATTGTTTGCTAACTTGGAGGCATTCTGAAGTTTTCGGAAAACATATTTTCTGAAAGCGTGTTTTGAAGCTTCATAAATGCGACTGCGTTTGAACCATTATTTGAATTCAGTTAGCTGAACAGTGCGTTGCAAAGTCGAGTGCATAAGGCATTTTCTCCCTCCTTCCAGCATGCCTTCGTGGTACAACGGTAGCCCACTCGGCACGTATTCGAAAGGTCCAGGTTCGAGTTCCGGCGAGGGCATTGCCTTTTTCTTCATGTTTCCTGCTTCAAAATAACCTAATGACTCTACATGTGATTATATTAGACCAGGGGTCGGCAACCTTTTGAGTCGGAAGAGTCAAAATTACATTTACAAATTTCAGAATTATGCCTAATCCTCGTTAATCAATTTGAACGATTTTAAATGTTTTTTTTAAAATAATAATATTTGCATATGGAACTAAAGAGCTGCAGCCTCACATCCAAAGAGTTGCATGTGGCTCGCGAGCCGCAGGTTGCCGACCCCTGTATTAGACTAATGTTTCTGATTTGCGATATTCTTCGCGTCTTGATGAGAATTTTCCTTCTCTCTCTTTCTCTCTTTGAACTATTAATTGCTGTTTATCTTGTTGAAGAGCTGTAACTTATGTCAATGAAATGTAAATATTCTTCTGGTTATCTAGTGCAGTAATTAAAGAGATCTTTACGAATTTTTAGATTTCAACACTAGGTATTTCAAGTACATTTTCGTACCTTGGTATTTAGGTAATGTGATATGAAAGCAACTCAAAAATATTGTTTCATATTTTTCTTCTAATAGTGAAGAGATGTTTCCTTAAAATGTTCATTTCAATTATGTTAAATATACTCAAATAATCTGAACGCTTGAATGGGCAAATCTTTCTTTCAGTAATTGAACGTACAAATTTTCTTTCAATAATTCATTACCAATAATGTGAAACAGTGGTATTTTTCTGTTTCAGGACTGTGAAACGTAATTTAGCTTAATGTTATTAAACTCACGAAGTAAATCATGTATCGTCCGATGTCTGCGCAGACAAGAAATGAAAATCTGATGCGTGTCAGCGCCACACGAAGATTAGCGAGAGCAACTGATCCCGTAGAGAAACTCCGACTTCTGTGCTTACAAAGAGGATCTAGTGGTATTCTGGGACTTGGCAGGTTAGTTTTACTAAATTACTCTTTTACATACGGTTTTAGAGAAATTTTTACAGCATGAGGAATAATGCTTACTGTTACTCAAGCTCTTCGAAAAAGACAGCTGCTGACTTTATTTTATTAATATTGATCCTAGGGATGATATACATATTTTCTGTAGCAATGTTGTTTAAAGAAAGGTGCGGAATATTTTGAAAATTGTCTCAACATTGTGGGGGTAAGTGTTTTGTTGGAAGGGATCTAACTTTTCATATACAATCATGTGCAAAACTAAGAGAATTTGTCTATTATATCGAATTCCTAGAAAACTAACTGACAGATTTTAATGAAATTTGGTATGGATATACATTTATTTCAATTTTGGAAATAGATCTACCATTCAAAAGGCATTTTATGCACACATGATAATCAGTAAAGATCACAGTAAAGATCATAGTGATTATAGATCTATATCACAATGTACAAAATGCACATTGTGATATAGAACTGAAAGTGAGTTTAATACGGGTTGCGGTCCCCTCTTACAGCTAGACAGGTGAGCGGCGTGACGGCATACTGGACAGAGGGCAGTTGAGAACTCCCTGTGGCAGTCGATTTCATTCCTTTATTAAGACAGTTTTCAACTCCGGAATGGTTTCGGGATTAATATGTCGAGATGAAATTGCTCTTCTCAGAGTATCTCAGTCATGCTCTATAGGGTTATGGTCAGGAGATCTGGCTAGCCAATTTACGCGACAAATATCCTCACCTTACAGCTAATCGTCGATCGGCTCAGCCCTATGTGGACGAGCGTTGTTGTCCATCAACAGGAACCCAGGATCAACTGCGCCCCGAAAATATCTAACATATCACCTCTCTGTACCTCACAGCAGTCAGCAAGCCTTTTTCAAGCACATGCAGGGATGTGCTGCCGTCCAACATAATGCCTGCCCAAACCATTACGCCTCCAACACCGTAAAGATCCTTTTCCTTGATGAGGGAGGAATGGTATCGTGTTCCAGGTTCCTTCGAGATCCAGGTACACTTCAAAATAACCTAGTGTGTGCTGAATGACGACTCATCTGTAAAACACACATACTCCATTGATGTCTGGTAAAAAGCGCTTGTTGTCTGCATGTCGACTAGTATAAATTGGCTGAATGTCGACTCATCTGTAAAACGCATTTACTCCTTTGAATTCTCGCAAATGGCACGTGTTGTCTGCATTATGCTAAACGCGCCGTCTCTTGTGTGCTGCAGTGAACTGGATACAAACAGTAGGTGTTTTGGCATGCAGACATATCTTATGAAGCCTTCGGGTAACTGCAGATTATGAAACTAGGATTCCAGTGGCAGCATACAGCTAACGTGAGAGCTGTGAAGCTGTAGCAGTCCTGTGTCGCCACGCTGAAAATTTCAAATGACGATCCTCATTCGTCGTTGCGGATTTTGGCCGACCTCGTAAAGCTTTTCTCAATATGGATCTAGTGTCCTGAAATGGTTTCCACAAATTTCAAACCACAGTGGGCGTTCATTGAGTTATATAACCACGTGCGCTTGTGACTAACCTGCCTCCGATCCACCGACAATTCTCCATCTCATTCCACTATCCACAAGTTCGAGGCCATTCGTTTTACTTAATACCTCATAAAATTCACCCACGAGAAACACGGCGAATGCTGTGAAGGCGTACGAGCACACAAATCGCCGAAAAGCCCACGTGTGCTTATATCACCTCTACAATCACGACTCCGCAGACTGTAAGCTTAAGTGTTCATTTCTGGATATTTGCATAATTCTTTGGCGGCATAATTAGTACCTTTGGTTCAATACGTTTCATAAAAATAGACATAATTTACAAATTATCTTAATTTTGCACACAAGTGTGTTTTCTATAAAGTTATGATCTTAAATTTTGACTGATATCCGGCTGGTCAAACCCTCATTACGACATACGCATTAATCTTATTTAGTTCAATTAATCATGTCATGTAAATGTTCGAGTAGCAGCTTTCGTTGGCATGCCTAAAAATTGCCCATTACATTTGGTCAGGCATCAACGCCTTAAATATCTCAACACAGTAAAAGGCATACTGAAATATTTCGTCCGCAAACGGAACTTCACTTTGAAAAAAAAAATAACCTTTCAAATTTAGGGAAACTGTCAGCTAGCCAGAACAGCTGAATTAGAGCCGTATGAGCTTAAAAGTGATAGAACATTCAACACAATATGAAAAAGGGAACTACAGTTAGAACTGTATGAGCTTCAGTGTGATCCAACAGTTAATAAAAGGGATCTGAGTTGAGGAAATTACTACAGCAAGAACGGTACCCATTTCTTAAAAATAGTTACTTAGAAATGCTTTATATTGGCAGTACCTTTTTACTAAGATTTTATTCTTGCTTTTAACCAAGGTTCGGCGCTAATTTCTTATCAAAAAGTTTATAATGTTATTATTTAAATTAACCCCTTATTTTTAATGTCAGCCTTTACTATAACTTCTTCTTTCCGTTTCCTCTCCAAAATATAAATGTTATTAATTAGTTAGGATTAAAGCTGAGAGATTTTGGACTGTAAGACAGTGCGTGTTTCTGGCCTGCTCGGGCATGCTACATTTAGTTCCTGCCAGCTCTGATTTCTAATTATTGGGCTTTGCTTTATATCGCTGGCGACATTTGAACTCGATACGCTGGTAGAGTTACTGAGCCAGCTCAAAGTAATATTTAAATTATGTAATCTTTGACTACTATGGCCTACGATCAAATTTAACTGGCCTACATATATCATTTATTTTAAAAGCTATTTCTGAAAGAAAAACTTATCTTTCACTTAACAAACTTCTTTTCTTACAGCTTTTAAAATCTTTCATTTTATTCTTAATCGCTTTGTTTAATTCTGATTTAAATCTTTAATTATCATATTCATGCAATTAATGGTCATTGATGGCTTTACGGACACTGGACTTAGCAATACCTTTAAAGTTTACTTTCCTGCATTAATACATTGAAAGCAGTAAAACTTCGGCATAATTCTGATCTGGGAAAAAATAAGAATTCTTTTTGAAATGTTTTAGTTTTTTTAAAAAATCTTTCCAGTAATTATTTTCCACACCTTTCCTAATTCTGGGATGAAACTATGCTGTTTCTATGTTAGGAAAATAAATTATCAATAATCTTGAAGCAAAAATATATCATATTTTAAGAATGTCAGTGATTTCAGAATTTCAGTGAGTTTTATTTAGCTTTCTTACCAGTTGCGCTTTAATTTTACAAACTTTGTCTGTATCACCAATCAAGTTACCATTTCAGGCTAATGAATCATAATAATACTTAAATTAAGTAGACGGATTTAGCTGATTTTGGAAGAAGTCACCAGTAGAATGTTACTTTGTAATGGGTAGCTGATAGGAATTTCTGTATATTAACTGGTTGTTGAAGTCAAAATTAAATTGAAAAACTAGCACTTCACCAGTTAAAATCCTTAATATTAATTATTTTGTCCAACGTTTTGGCTATTTCTGTTTTAACATGTGCAAAAAACGTTAACGTTGTACTGAAATAGAACAACAACAAAATGCAATTGTTGTTCTTACTAAAATTTTAAAATTAAATTTTTAGCGAGCCTTCATTGTGTAGTGGTCAGCACACTCAGCGCGTTTGAGAGGTCGGCGGTTCGATTCCCGGCGAAGGTGTTGCTAATTTTTCATCTCTCCTGCGTCCAAAAAACACCTAATGTCTTTACAAGTCCATGGCGTGAAGACGTTTTACTTTTCTAACCTTTGTTTCTTTTCTTACTTTTCTTTAGCATTCCTTTCATTAAAGAAAAACTTCTTACAAGCCTTTAATTCACCATTTAGGAGATTTCTAACGTGCCATCGCCAATTAGTTTCGCCAGCGAAGCCAAATTGGCACCCAAAACTAGCAATTTCGAAATTAGTCGTTTGAGTACAATGTTCTCAGTTTATTTCTAGTATATTTTGTACTTCTAACATTTTAATTCCAATGTTTCAATTTAAATTTGAATTTTACATTCTGTGGAAAAAGTGTACTTAATTATTTACTTTATTTAACATTGGGATGTGATTAGTATATTTCCCTAACCAATTGCCTCTGCGTCTACTGAGTAAGTTTTATTAGTATATTTTGTATTAATTTCAGTTCTAAATTGAGTAAAAAGTGTCTACTTAATTTATTTGACATTAGGATTTTTACTAGTGGATTTGTCTTTGTATTTTCTTTTAACACTGCGTCGGAGAGGAATTTAAGATTTTCGGATAAACTATCAAAATTAAATAATTTAAAATGGTTCATCAGCTAATTTTGGGTAACAGAAACGCAGGGGATTTCAAACGGGAGGTGTGTTCAGTTCAGTCTGATGTACCTTCTCTTGATCACGTTATATCAGATTTGATTGCATTCCTCTTCCTATGTATTGTTTTTTACGGTTTCTCTATTTATTATTTTTTTAGGTTTTAGTATTTCACATTTCTTTTATTCTTTTGATTAATTTTATATATTTATAGAGAATTTTGAAATTTACTGGTACTGAATTTCACTTCTTTTCGGTCTTTGTGGAACTGGTTTTAAGTTTCTTTCTTTTTCTCCCTATATATGTAATATATATAGATTATTGGATGCGTACGAGTGTGTAATAGATTGAATGCACAAGTCCGATAATAGGTTAATAAAATTTATTTTTATCAAAAGAAATACAGTGAAATCTCGTTACAACAATATTTTAGGGACCAAATAAATATATTGTTGTAGAGAGGCATATTGTTATATCGAAGGCCCACATATTTTGAGCATTTAATAAGAGTTTTTTTTATTATTATTAGTTTAAGGTGCATAACATACTACTTTTAAGTCTATATTTAGAAGAAATTAATTTGTAAAATACCAATAATAGTGGTTTAAATACTAAAAAAATAAATAAATAAGATAAATTCAGAAAATAAGCACAGAAATATTCACATACCTGAAAACACTTTTTATTGAAAATAATCCAATATTTTTGTTTGTTT